GGACTTATAAACCAAAAGCTGCAATAATATTGATCTATATATTAATATTTACCTATGTAGTAATTAATATTTACCTTTAAAATTGGTCTCTATTTCTTTTTATGGCTTTAAGTTTCTTCCTAGTGTCCTTTCATTTCAGACTGAAGGACTACCTTTAGCATTTCTTCTAGAGCAGGCCTACTATCATTTCTTGTAGTGTAGGACTATTAGAAAATTCCTTCAGGTTTTGTTGCCTTTGGCAATGTCTTGATACCTCTTTCATTTTTGAAGGATGATTTTGATGGATATAGAATTCTTAGTTGACACTTTTTTTCTTTCAACAGTTCAAATATGTCATCTCACTGTTTTCTGTACTTCATATTTTCTGAAAAGAAATTGGCTGTCAAGCTCATTGAGGATCATTTGTACATGATGAGTCACTTTTCTCTTGCTGCTTTCAAAATTCTCCCTCTGTTACTTGACACTTTGACTATAATGTGTCTCATTGTGGATCTCTTTGAATTTATCCTGCTAGAAGTTTGTTAAGCTCTTTAGATGTATAATTTCATCATATTTGGCAAGTTATCAACCATTATTCTTCAAATATTCTTTCGATACCTTTCTCTCTCTCTCTTCTCTTTCTGGGATTCTCATTATGCACATGTTGGCGGGTTTGTATTTATTTACTTTATTTAGAGACAGAGTCTCACTCTGTTGCCCTGGCTAGAGTGTTGTGGTGTCAACCTAGCTCAAAGCAACCTCGAACTCCTTAGTTCAAACAATCTACCTGCCTTGGCCTCCCAGAGTGCTAGGATTACAGGAGTGAGCCACTGTACCCAGACTTGTGTTAGTATGTTTGATGGTGTCTCACAGGTCTCTTAGACTCTATTCATTTTTGGTCATTCTTTCATATTTCTGTTCCTCAATACATTTCTTATTTCAGTTATTGTACTTTTCAGCCCCATATTTTCTTTTCTTTCTTCTTCTTTTTTTTTTAAGATATGGGCCTCATTCTGTCACTCAGGATGGAGTGCCATGGTGCAATCATAGATCACTGCAGCCCCCAGTTCCTGGGCTCAAGCAATCCTCCCAGTTCAGCCTCCTGAATAGCTAGGACTACAGGTGCATGGCAGCATGCCTGGCTAATTTGCAAATCTTTTGTAGAGATAGGATCTTGCTATGTTGCCAAGGCTGGTTTTTGGACTTCTGGGCTCGCTCAGCTTCTCAAAGTCCTGGGAATACAAAATGAGCCACTGTGCCTGGCCCAGCTCCATATTTCCTATTTGGTTCCTTTTTACAAGTTCTAACTCTTCATTGGTATTCTCTCTTTGCTGATACATTGTTCTGGCTTCTTTTAGTTCTTTGAGCATATTTAAGATGGTTGATTTAAAATCTTTATCTAGTAGGTCCAATGTGTGAGCTTCCTTAGGAAAAATTTCTATCAATTTTTTCCCCTGTGAATGGCCATACTTCCTTGTTTCTGTAAATGCCTTTTTGTTGAAAACTGTACATTTTAAATATTACAATGTGGCATCTCTGAAAATCATATTCTCTCCATTCCTAGAATGAGTTATTGATGCTTATTTTGGATTTTTATTGTATTGTTTGCTTGCTTAGTGATTTTTCTAAACTATTTTTGTAAAGCCTTTGTCATGTGTAGCCACTGAAACCTGTGTTCAATTAGTTCAGTGGTCAGTTAGTGTTTTGACAGAGCTTCTTCAAATGCCTGGAGCCAAGAATAAGAAATAAAAACAAAAAAGTACTCTTCCAGTCTTTGCCAATTGGCTCTATGTTGTGATTTTTCTTTAACACTTAGCCAGGCTATTTACAGCTCTGCCTTAACCTTTATTTTCTGCTCACACAGAGCCTGATGGTCAGCAGAGGTGAAAGCTCATAGTCTTCTCAGGCCTTTCTTGAGCATGTTTCCATACTGGGACATGCTCATGGGCTTCTTGATTACCTGGTCTATGTGGGAGCTTTTAAAAGTCCTTGCTTCCCAGTATATCTCCTTTTACAACCTCTTGCTTCCCAGGCTTTTTGATCTGTTGATTGCTTATTGCTATGGCTTAGGTATTTGTTTCCCCAAACGTCATGTTGAAATTTGATCCTAACATTGGAGGTGGGGTCTAATGAAGAGGTGTTTGGGTCATGGGGGTGGATCCCTCATAAATGGCTTGGTGCTGTCCTTGTGGTAATGAATGAGTTCTTGCTCTACTACCTCCCAAGAGAACTGATTGTAAAACAGAGCCTGGAAGCTCCCCTTCCTCTTGCTTCTGCTCTTGCCATATGATCTCTGCACACACCAGCTCCCCTTTGTTTTCTACTATGAGTGGAAGCAAGCCTGAGCCCTCACCAGAAGCAGATCCTGGTGCCAGGCTTCTTGCTTGCAGAACCATGTGCCCAATAAACCTCTTTTCTTTATAAATTACCCAGCCTCAAGTATTCCTTTATAGCAAACACAAATGGACTAAAACATTTATCCTGTTATTCCTTGACCCAAGCTGGTGTGGCCAATATTTTTGCCTTTAAATGCTTTCAGTGAAAGCAGGCTGCACATACTTATCCTCCTTTCAAAATCCCATAAAATTTATATAAAATGAATAGATCTATAACTGTATTAGAACACAGGAGACACAATGAGGAAAGCAAGGCAAGGATGAATATATGAAATATAATTTGTGGGCCTGGTGCAGTGGCTCATGCCTATAATCCAAGCACTTTGGGAGGCCAACGCGGGAGGATCACTTGAGGCCAGGAGTTTGAGACCAGCCTGGACAACACAGCAAGACCCCGTTTCTATAAAAAATGTCAAAATTAGCTGGTTGTGGTGGTGTGTGCCTATAGTCCTGGCTACTTGGGAGGCTGAGGCAGGAGGATAAGTTGAGCCCAGGTATTTGAGGTTGTAGTCAGGTATGATCACACCACTGTACTCTAGCCTGGGTGACAGAGTGAGACCCTATCTCTAAAAAACCATATAGAGTATATATATCTATATGTGTATATGTGTATACACATAATTTTCTTTATATGAACATCAAACCAGGCAAAAAATAGTATATCATTTAGGTATATATGTACCACAACTATAAAGTGATGTTAGGAAATAATAAACACAAAATTCAGGATAGTGGTCATCTCAGGAATAGGGGGAAAGGCATATAGGTGGTAAGGAGTATATGAAGAGCTTCTGGCATATCTCGCAAAGTTCTGTCTCCTTTCATGAGCGCTTATCTATCAATAATTCAATAAGCTATATATTTCTTTTATGCTCCTTTCTGTATTTGTGTTATACATAAAAAGAAAAGAATTCTTTTTCAATAATAGATATCATTAACAAAGTGAAATGACAACCCACTGAGTAAAAAATAGATACTTGTATGTATTTGTTTAAAATTCCTATCTAGGAATACATGAAGAACTTCTGTGAATAAATAAAAAGACAGACAACTCAACAGTAAAATAGGCACCTTGAGCAAGCACTTCACGAAAGAGGAATACAAACAGACAATTAACATAGGAAAATGGGCCCAACATCCACAGTTGTCAGGCAAATGGAAATGAAAGCCACAATACTTCTACACATTCATAGCTTAAATGAATATACCTATACTGAGTGTTGACAAGGATTTGGAACAATACTGGGGGCAGTATAAATTTATACAGCTACTTAGGAAACAGCTTGGCAGTATCTACTAAGCTGAATATATGCCAATTCTATAATCTGCTCCCAGGAATATACCCAAGAGAAATATACCCAAGGTCCTATGCAAGAATTTCCTGGCAACACTGTTTATAATAGTCCCAACTGGTAACTACCCCAAAGACTATCAACAGCAGAATAAAGAAGTAAATTATGGCAGATTCATACAATGGACTATTATACTACAGTGAGAATGATTGGATTACAATTATGTACAACAGTAGAGATAAATCTTACAAATGTCACATTGAATAAAACAAGCAAGCAACGAAAGAGTATATTATCCCATGGTTGCATTTACATAAAGTTTTAAAACAGGCAAAATTAATGTATAGTGTTAGAAGTGAGGATAAGGGTCAACCTTGGTGAGGGGAAGAGACATGAAGCAAGGATTTAGGGGTTTTGGGGAACCTGCTAATGTTCTGTTTCTTTATCAGTGTAATTATCACACAAATATGTTCATTTTATGAGAAGTCAATGAGGTACACACTTATGATTTTGTATTTTTTCTGTATTTACATTTCTTTTCTTTCTTTTTTTTTTTTGAGACAGTCTCACTCTGTTGTCCAGGCTAGAGTGCCGTGGTGTCAGCCTAGCTCACAGCAACCTCAAACTCCTGGGCTTAAACAATCCTTCTGCCTCAGCCTCCCGAGCAGCTGGGACTACAGGCATGTACCACCATGCCTGGCTAATCTTTTCTATATATTTTTAGTTGTTCCGCTAATTTCTTTCTATTTTTTTTTAGTAGAGACGGGGTCTCACTCTTGCTCAGGCTGGTTTCGAACTCCTGACCTCAAGCAATCCTCCCGCTTCAGCTTCCCAGAGTGCTAGGATTACAGGTGTGAGCTACCGCACCTGGCCTGTATTTATATTTCTTAAATGTGTTTTACAAAAAGGAGTAGGGGAATCTTGGATGGTTAATGATATGCCACTGACTGAGACGATTGATCTTCCAGTTCTTTGTACATGATTTCTAGAAAACAAAATAAAAGTCATAACCAGTATAACAGAAGTTGAAAGTAAAGCTTTCACCTAATCCATGGAGAGAGTAAATGAAAAGAGGGAAGTAAAACAAAATACATTTCTTTGGTTGAATACTCTTTCTTTCTCTGCCTTGGTTCTCTATTAAAGTTTAAATAGTGTCATAAACTATGGTGTTAGAAAGCACTGAATTTGTTGGATCACTTTCAAAGGAGAGATTACGGTGCTTTTATTCTAGTTGCACCAATTCTCAGCTCCTTTAGGAATAGAGCCCACCATTTTGGAGTGCTGAACTGGGCAATGAGAAAGAGAAACTCATTTTAGCTGTTCTTTTCCAAAGGTATCCTCCAACCTCTCCTCCAACATTGAACCAGGCAACTATGTTAAAATGAATGATACAATCATCCAGCTACCCTCCAAAGCAGCTATACAAGATATTACTATGGAGCTACACTGTCCACTGTGCCATGATTGGTTCCGAGATCCACTGATGTTAAGCTGCGGCCACAACTTCTGCCAAGCCTGTATCCAAAATTTTTGGAAGCAGCAAACAAAGGAAACATTCTGTCCTGAGTGTAAGATGCTATGTCAATATAGCAACTGTACATTCAACCTTGTACTTGAGAAACTGGTAGAGAAGATTAAGAAGCTACCCTTACTCAAGGGCCATCCACAGTGCCCAGAGCATGGAGAGAATCTGAAACTGTTCAGTAAGCCTGATGGGAAACTGATCTGCTTTCAATGCAAGGATGCTCGGTTGCCTGAGGGACATTCTAAGGAGTTCCTGCAAATCTCTGATGCTGTCCGCTTCTTCATGGTGGGTGAGCCCTGGGCCTTGAGCAATCCCTTAGGAAAACTTGGAAAAATCTTTTGTAGCTTTTTTCCTCTTTTCCAATCCCATCTGTTTATTCAAATAATGATTAGAAAGCTCAGACTACTCAGAAAATACAATATATTTTGCAAAGTTATTTCTCTAGAGTTGCTGCTTAAGGAACAGTGGAGGAGCTCTGGCCTACTCCCTCAACCTAATATTTACCCAACTCTGCCATGACAACACTCTACTAAACATTGTGTAGCATATGGACATGTAAGATATTGATCTTGTCATAAAAGTTTCAGAATTTGGTCAAGTTTAAAATGAAGGAAATAGCAGAATCAATAAAAGCCTAATATTGAGAGTTAAATTTTGTTACATTTGTAATTCATAAGTGTTTAGAATTTCTGAGAAGAATGGAGAAAGCTGAAATAGTTAGAGGATGTATAGGGAAAGAAAGAGAAAGGACTTGCACTGGGAAATCATTTGGATTGGGAAGGGCAGAAGGAAGAAAACAAGTGTTCTAAGTGAGAACAACCTAAGTAAAAGTAAAGATGTTGAGAACAGTGTAACTAGAGTAGAGAACATATAGAGTTCTATTACCTTTTTTCAAACTTCTATAGCTAGCTAATAAGAGGGCAAAACTAAGTTTTCTGTTGCTTGTAATTTTCATCACAATTCTTGAAAAGGACAGGAACTATGATACAAGGAAAGGGAAAGATTTTTTGCAGCAAGAGTTTGCTTTATTTTGGCACACTGAGGCTTTAAGGGTATGTCCTTTATGGACCTTTATCTCCCAAGTTGATGTGGGTTAATTCTATTTGATATTTCCAGGAGCATCTTACCATCCAACAGGATCAACTAGAGACAATCTTGAGGGAGCTTCAGTCCCTGAAGAACATGCAGAAGGATATTATTGCTGATTTCAAGGTGAGAAGCAGGGTAGAGGGGTTATGAGATCAAATTGGAATATACCCTCCAGCTATGAGGGTGCAAAGGTGCCTATACATATATTATCAATACATTAAATAGCACTTGGGCTATAGAATTGGAAAACTGAGACTGTAGGGTGGGAAGACATATGGTGGTGTGGTAGGTTCCTAATAGCTGATCAATAGAGCAGATTAACCTTTCCTCTAACATGCTGATCCTTTTGACAGTTCAATCACTAGGCGATTGTTGTGTTTTTTGGTTTTTTTTTGAGACAGAGTCTCACTTTGTTGCCCAGGCTAGAGTGAGTGCCGTGGCGTCAGCCTAGCTCATAGCAACCTCAATCTCCTGGGCTCAAGTAATCCTCCTGCCTCAGCCTCCCGAGTAGCTGGGACTACAGGCATGTGCCACCCTATTGCCCGGCTAATTTTTTCTATATATATTAGTTGGACAATTAATTTGTTTCTATTTATAGTAGAAACGGGGTCTCGCTCTTGCTCAGGCTGGTTTCAAACTCCTGACCTTGAGCAATCCACCCACCTCGGCCTCCCAGAGTGCTAGGATTATAGGTGTGAGCCACCGCGCCTGGCCTAGGTGATTGTTGTGTGTTGAAATTTGTCTGGTCTTTCTCTTTATCTATGGCAAAGTAAGGAATTTACCAGAAAATATACTAAAGATTTCTATGTTCAAAGAAATACTTTTCTTTCCTTGGGGTTATAACTCTGTACCAAGAGTTATAATCTCTGGACCAAGATCTCTCAGGTTGCTGGCTTTCTCCATCTGATTTGATATTTATTAGCTGCCCCCAAAGCAAATAAATCTATTGCCTACACTTTCAACTTCTTAGGAGCTCTAGGACAACATTAATGGTTAGAGATTTGGCAAAATCAGTCCCTAGGTTTGGGGTGCTAAATTGGGAATTCTATTTCTTCATTAATTATTTCATGGAGGAGAGCCTTCTCTGGCATTTGGCATCTGGAAGAAGAAATATGTAGACTCAAGAAAAGAAGAAGGATAGATAGTAATGATATCTTCAGATAATCTTGTTTCTGTTAGAAGAGTTCCTAATTCAGCTATTAGAGTCAATAGAATCTTAACTATTAGAGTCCACAGTCATTCATTCAATAAATATTTATTGAGTGGGTCAGGCATTATACTACTAGATGCTGGGGGTGGGAGTCAGATGTTAATTAAACAATCCTACCAATAACAATAAAATAACAACTGTGATAAGTACTATAAATGAAAATATAGGGTATTATGATAGCATAAAAATGGAGAACAGAACCTAGACTGGGGAAATGGAGTGACTCTGAAGAGTCACCTATTAAACATGGATAACTAAAGGATAAATAACTTAGCCAAGTGAACTGGGTGAAGGGAATAGGAAGAAGATGGCCTGGAGAAGAATGTTCTAGGAAGAGAAGGGAGCATATGGAAAAGTCCTAAGACAGAAAGTTAGTTGCTATGTTAAACAGAGAAAAGCACAATAAAGGTGACGCGTGCTAAGCAAGATGATATTGGTGAAGCAGAAACGGGTCCAATCATGTAGGCCCTCGTGTAGATAACGTTAAGAATTTTGAGCTTCAACCTGTGAATAATGAGAAGCCATTAAGGCTTTTTTTTTTTTTTTTTGAAACTTTTTGCCCAGGCTAGAGTGCCATGGCGTCAGCCTAGCTCACAGCAACCTCAAACTCCTGGGCTCAAGCGATCTTTCTGCCTCAGCCTCCCAAGTAGCTGGGACTACAGGCATGTACTGCCATGCCCGGCTAATTTTTTAATATATATTTTAGTTGGCCAATTAATTTATTTCTATTTATAGTAGAGATGGGGTCTCGTTCTTGCTCAGGCTGGTTTTGAACTCCTGACCTTGAGCGATCTGCCCTCCTCAGCCTCCCAGAGTGCTAGGATTACAGGCATGAGCCACCGTGCCCGGCCTAAAGGCTTTTAAATAGGACATGTTTAGAATGGACATGACATTTCATCATTTTGAAAATATCACTCTGGCGGCTATGTGGAGAATGGACTGGAGAGAGGCAACGGCAAGGACAATAGTTAGAAGTCTACTGCAGTGGTCCCTGAGAATGATGGTGGTGGCTTGGTTTAGTGACACAGTGGAGATACAGAGAAATAAATTGCTTGAGTATATGCTTTGAAGGTCGAAATTTACCTGGATGTGGTGACTGATTAAATGTCAAGGGTGAGTGGAGATGTCAAATAGGCAGTTGTATACAGGGATCTGCAGCTCAGAAGTTGGTTGAGGCTAACGATAAGAAGTCAGCATTACATGGACAATGAAAATTAAGTTTACTGAAAAAAAAAGAGACAAAAACTAAAAAAGAAAGTAACCATTAAAATTAAAAAAACCCAGAGCAGTCAGCATTAGATGTTATTTAAAGCCATAGAAGGAAAGGATATTGCCTAAAAAGAAAGTGTAGAATTAGAAGGGGAAAGAGCCCAGGACAGAATATCAAGTAAGTCTAAGACTTGGAGCTTGGTTAGAGGAAGTAGAACCAACAAGGAAGACTGAGAAATAGGCCGGGCGTGGTGGCTCATGCCTGTAATCCTAGCACTCTGGGAGGCAGAGGCAGGCGGATTGCTTGAGATCAGGAGTTTGAAACCAGCCTGAGCAAGAGTGAGACCCCCATTTCTACTATAAATAGAAATTAATTGGTCAACTAATATATATAGAAAAAAATTAGCCGGGCATGATGGCACATGCCTGTAGTCCCAGCTACTCAGGAGGTTGAGGCAGTAGGATTGCTTGAGCCCAGGAGTTTGAGGTTGCTGTGAGTTAGGCTGACGTCACGGCACTCATTCTAGCTTGGGCAATAAAGCGAGACTCTGTCTCAAAAAAATAAATAAATAAAAAAGACTGAGAAATAGTGGTGAGAAAGGTAAAAGGTAAACTGAAAGACTATGAGCTAGAGGAGAGGGAGTTAAGACTATTTTAAGTGTGCAATAATAGGCTGGGCATGGAGGCTCATGCCTGTAATCCCAGCATTCTGGGAGGCGGAGGTGGGAGGATTGCTTGAGCTCAGGAGTTCGAGTGCAGCTTGAGTAAGAGTATGATGCTGTCTCTATAAAAAAATAGAAAAATTAAATTACCCGGATGTGATGGTGCATGCTTGTAGTCCCAGCTACTCAGGAGGCTGAGACAGGATTACTTGAGCCCAGTTTGAGTTTGAGGTTGCAGTGAGCTATGATGACCCCACTGCATTTTACCCAGGGTGACAGAGCAAGACTCTGTTTCAAAAAAAAGTACAATAATAATTATGGACCATAGAATCCAAGCTGGATAAGAGGGGACATGAAAATAGAGGATAGAAGTTGATAAATAGAAACGGAGCGGTCAATGAATAGGAGGTTTCAATGAGATCCAATAATTGTTGCAGTAGGGGTGGAGTGAGCCAAGAACATAAAAAGTTATTCTGTTCCCCTCAGCATAGCATGAGGAAAAAAGAATAGAAAAAGTTATTCTGGAGATGATGCAATTGCTGGGGAGAATAAAATCCTAGATGTGACTATAATGAGTAGATACAGGTAGAAATCACCAGAAATGAGAATGAGGAGGAGGAACAGAAGTCAGGATGACAAATGGTTCACCCGTGAGGATGCTGAGGTTACCCAAGAAAAGAGCTACATTATCCATTACAGTGCTTCCAACATTGCTGATCTCCTGCTTCTTCTGCATTGTCTTGGCAGCAGGAATGGCACCTCTCTGCTCCAGTTCTGATTTCTAGATAAGAACAGTTCTTCCAGCCTCCCAATGGCCCCAGTCTAACAGTACTACTTAGTAGATATTGGCTTATCAATGTAGGGGGGTTATTATTATTCATTCTAGAGTGTTTGATCACCTCCACAGTCTTATTTATATGGCACTGGTTACCGCCTTGGTACTGCAGTAGGAAACTAGAGACCATTTTCAACTATTTCATCCTGAACTCTGAACTATTAAACGAGTTGGGGAAGAGGGAATAAGTTTCCCAAAGGGCTTATTTTAGTGTGGTTGAATGTTGATATTCAACAGCCATTGTATGCATTTTTCTGTGATGATATTTCTTAAGTGAGTGAGTGTTGGTGGTGTGGGCCCACATCCCCAAGTACTAGTCTTGGTAATAACCGTGGTGATAATCATGGAGGTTTCCAGGAAAACAAGCTACATCTGCAGCAACATGTATCCTTGGAGTTTCTAAAGCTGCATCAGTTCCTGCACAACAAAGAAAAGGACATTTTAAGCGAGCTCCGGGAAGAGGGGAAAGCCATGAATGAAGAGATGGAGCTAAATATGAACAAGCTTGAGGAGCAGGGTCTCCTAGCCAAGGACTTGTTGGAGAGCATTCAGACACGGATGGAAGAGCAGAACTCTTTCGACTTTCTCAAAGTGAGACTCCATACCAATATGATTATGGGTACACTTAGCGGGGGAAGAGGTTTGGAAAGGATATAGAAATGGCTTTTCACTGCCAAGGAAATAAACAAAACAAAACTGCTATAGTGCTTTTAAGATTTTCTGGGAGAAAAACAGGAGACTACTTTAACTTTATGCTCAACAGAGAGCTTTACTTTCATCCTTCTAGAAAACGATAACAAAAATCTCAATAATAATAAGCATTAACATTTTAATATTTTTCCATAAAGAACTTTGAAGCTTTATTTCTCAAAAATAAAAATGTTGTAGCCTGAGTTGTACCTTTGACTGGCTCTCAGCAATCATTAAATTGACTTGTCTGAAAAGCTGTTTGCCAATCTTTGCTATCTGAAGCTTCACTTCTAAAGAGGCATTGGTTACCACTTCAGCACTCAGAAGCTTAATTAGCTAGAGAAAGGAAAAGTGGCCTTAGGACTGGAATATCTACTGTGTTTTTCTTCTGAGACATTTAAAAGTATAGGTAAAAAATAGATTAACCTTAATTATTGTCTTATTAGCTTCTCTCTTGTTCCCCATAGAAGGGAACTATAGAAAATCAGAACAAGGTAAGGCCAGTTTATCCTGGGTTAGATCAGGGGTGCAGATTAGAAAAGGCATATGAAGGTAAAAGAAGTTGATAGAGATGGGTTGGGGACTAACTTCACAAATTCTAGTGATGGCTAGTGTCACCAAAGAAATTTCTGGAGTTAATGAACAGGCATCTAACATCTCTATTTCTCCTTTCCTCTTCTAGGACATCGCAACTTTGTTGGATAGGTAAGTGTTTCCCTATGGTATTCTTAATATCCTTCCTTCAGTTCCTGGAGGATATCTAAGGATAAATGATTTATGTCCCCTCCAGGTTGGAGCAAGGAATGAAGATATTGGCACCCAGAGAGATCATCTCCAGAAAGCTGAACCTGGGCCAGTTCAAAGGTCCCATCCAGTACATGAAGTGGAGGGAAATGCAGTCCACTGTCTCTCCAGGTATCAGTATCAGTGGCTAATAACTATTCGTTCCTGGGGCTCTTAATCTGTGTTTCATCTGTGGAACCTCTTCTGTAGCCCTGATTAATTCTTTTTCTTTCTTTCTTTTTTTGAGACAGAGTCTTGCTTTGTTGCCCAGGCTAGAGTGAGTGCCACGTCGTCAGCCTAGCTCACAGCAATCTCAAACTCCTGGGCTCAAGCAATCCTTCTGCCTCAGGCTCCCGAGTAGCTGGGACTGCAGGCATGTACCACCATGCCTGGCTAATTTTTTCTATATATATTAGTTTACCAATTAATTTCTTTCTATTTATAGTAGAGACGGGGGTCTCACTCTTGCTCAGGCTGGTTTCGAACTCCTGATCTCAAGCAATCCGCCCACCTTTGCCTCTCAGAGTGCTAGGATTACAGGCGTGAGCCACCGTGCCCAGCTAAATACATAGGGTCTTTACAGGCCCTTTTGTGCTTGATGTTCATATCATAGAGTATAACCTATTAGGAGATCGTTTAGATCTTCAGTGCTTCAGAAGAAAACCAATAATTTTAATAAATGTACCTAATACGGGCATTAAGTTCTTATGTTCCTGGCCGGGCACAGTGGCTCACACCTATAATCCTACCACTCTGGGAAGCCAAAGCTCGAGGATTAATTGAGCTTAGGCACTGGAGACCAGCTTGAGCAAGAGTGAGACCCCGTGTCTATTAAAAAAAAAAAAATAGGCTGGGTGCGGTGGCTCATGCCTGTAATCCTAGCACTCTAGGAGGCCGACACGGGACATGGGTGGATTGCTTGAGGTCAGGAGTTCAAGACCAGCCTGAGCAAGAGCAAGACCCGTTTCTACTATAAATAGAAAGAAATTAATTGGCCAACTAAAAATATATATACAAAAAATTAGCCGGGCATGGTGGTGCATGCCTGTAGTCCCAGCTACTCAGGAGGCTGAGGCAGGAATATTACTTGAGCCCAGGAATTTGAGGTTGCTGTGAGCGAGGCTGATGCCACGGCACTCACTTTAGCCTGGGCAACAGAGTGAGACTCTGTCTCAAAAACAAAAAAAAAAAAAAAGAAAAGAAATAAAAAATTAGCCAGGCATGGTGGTGCATGCCTGTAGTCCCAAGCTACTCAGGAGGCTGAGGCAGAAGGATTGCTTGAACCCAGGAGTTTGGGGTTGCTGTGAGCTAGTTGGATGCCACAGCACTCTAGCCCGGGCAACAGAGTGAGACTCTGTCTCAAAAAAAAAACCCCAAAAAACAAAGATTACAAAGTATAACCCTGATTTTGTAATTATTAGATTCAACTGACATAAAATTAGCCAGATTGCTATGCAAGTTTCTAAAGTACAGATTTACATTATTTGTATTGATTCATTTAATAGAGCATAAATTACTTCAGAGTAAAGCCTGATTTTTACCCTAACTATAAAAATGTCTAGAATATAGCAACATGGATATCCAAACAATAAAAAGTGTATAAGTAATTGCTTGCCTAAGAGTATATATGTACAGGGAAATAAAGCACTGGTGTCTAAATAAATAACTGTCTTTTACTATAGGAATTTGCATTCACCCCCTTTTCTCCCATGCCCTACTTTTCTTACTTTCTTACTAGGCTTATCTCCACTAACTCTGGACCTAAAACAGCTCACCAAATTTGGTCTCTCTAAAAAACCGAACCAGTGTGTGGCATGGTGACGTTAAGCAGGTACTGCCCGATGATCCAGAGAGGTTTGACTCAATGTGGGCTGTGCTGGGCTCAAAAGGATTCACATCTGGAAAGTTGTATTGGGAAGTAGAAGTAGCAAAGAAGACAAAATGGACCCTCGGAGTGTCAGAGAATCCATCATTCGAAAGGGCAGCTCTCCTCTAACTCCTGGGCAAGATTCTGGCTTTTAAGACTAAGAACCCAACTGATTTAAAGGCTCTGGATTTGCCTTCTTGTAGTCTGAAACTGGATGGACAAACTCAACAGGGTGGGCATAACTTGGATACGAAGGAGGGCAAGTGTCCTTCTACAATGCTAAAACCATGATCCACATTTATTACCTTCATTAGCACTTTCACGGAGAAACTTTATCCCTACTTCTGCCCCTGTCTTAACGATGGTGGAGAGAATAAAGAACCACTGCACATCTTACAGTCATAGTAATTAGTATACTATTGTATAAATTCAGAGTGATATTAAAGCGGTATTGAAATATTTACCAGTCTCACTGGATTCTCTTCCAATTTATGGGAACTCTGAATAATAAGAGAGGATTCATAAATCAAATTCCATTCTCAGTATCCTAAATGGATTTTGCTGGAGCCTTTCAAGGTTTCATTCTACTCTTCCTGGGGTCTTCTATGACAGAGAAAGCCATTCTCCTGAGAGTGATCATCATGGTCTCATTATAGTATTGTTTGACTGAGAGACTACAGCTTGAGTTTGTGATACTTAGGGACCCTTTTCAAATGTGCCCAGAAATCCTATCATGCTGTCATTATTCTCCAGCATAGTAACTCTTAGTAGATGAATTTTCAGATGTATACTCTTCCTGTTATTTAATTATCTTTTGATATAAGTTTTATCTCTTATCTTTCTAAATTTATTTTTCTTTCTAGAATTGTTTTCTAGAAACTGTAATTTTAAAACCTGCTTCAGAAGCTTAAAGAAAAGTGTCAGAAATGGTCTGGTTTTGGAGTCCACTTGCCCAGGCCCTTGGCAGTGGCTCCGGTCATGGTCCTCCAAATTTGGCTCACAATAAATCTCTTTAGAATTATTTTGCAAATTTGCTTTTTTTTTCGTCGACAATTTTGCGTAGTCGCAGGATCTCAGAGAAGACTCAGGCCGCCTAAGGAGCAGCGCGACTCGGCGCAGGTACCGGCATGGCCTTTTAGGCCTCCCGACTCCGAGCTCTCTCCTTTGGCGGGAACTGGTAAGTCCTCCTGAGATCCGGAGCCTCCCGTTTTTGGTTGATGGTCTTGGTTTATTCTGAGCTGGTTCTTTTCCTAGGAATTGTTGTTTGAGATCCTAATTTAGGTTTGGAGGTGCATTCTAAAGGGCTTTCTCCATTGCCTTTTTTCTTCTCAAAACTAGTTTCAATTGGCTTGTCTATGAAAAGCAAATTCTTTAAGAGTGAGAAGCAAAGAAATACTCCTGTTGGGGACCCCAGTTGGTTTTGTGTCTCTACTTGCAAGTATTTTTGTAAATGAGAAAATTCAAAGCATGCCAGGTTTTTCTAGGGCTCCAGTCTGGTTATAGCTAATTCTTGTGCGCAAGTTTTTAAGAAAGGGCAAAGTTACATCAAAAAAAATTCAGAGCTGAAATGGTTGACCCCCCACTATTGAAGTGTCTCAAGCTATCTCTCTCTTCTGGCTACTCTAAAATCTGCTAACTTTTTCTGAATGATGTTAAGATAACTCATTGTTGTGGTAGTTTACAATTCAAAGGCTACCTAGAGACCTTGCAGCCAGTTCTAGCTAAAATGCTAACATAGAAAACTCATTTTGCACTAAAAAAAAAAAGTCAAACTGCCGTAAAAACTGCTTTACCCAAAACTTTGATCCACAGGCCTAATTAAGTTACCTATCAGGTCAACTAAAATTTGCCAGGTGAACAAGTTCCAGTCTCATCAAAAGAAATTTAGATTCAGCTTTTTTTTACAGACTGGTGAGTTTGTGTTAAATTTGCATGGTTAAACAGGTTTGTAGGTAAAATTTATCAGAACTTTGTGTGTAGTATGTGTCTGGGAGAGTGTATATGTTTGGGTATGTTTTATGTCTGTCCATATATCACGTTTGTGCTTATAGTTTCAGGACTGTGTTTAAAATTAAATGGAGCGCTGCATAAATTAAACCCAAATGCTTCATGTAAACTTAATAACTGTTAGTAATAAGCTGTGTTATTATTAATAAATAAAAAGGTGTATGTAAAAATAATAGTAAAATGCTTCTCAAATTATAAACATACATTGTTTTTGCCCTGGTTTTTACTAGACATTTTTAAGTTCTTGAGGTGTAAAGGTTTGATAAAATTGTAAACTCAGCCAAAGACAAAGTAATGGGTGATTTTTGATAAGTAAAGTAAATTTAATATTTGGTCAAATAATATTAACTAAATCTGGGTTACCAACAAAAATACTTATGTGTTTAAGGTAAAAATGCAAATGTGCCTGAGTCAGCAAATTAAAATAAATAAAACAACAAATAGAAAGAAAAAAAAACCAAATTTAATCGTTAAAGGTGTAAAAAAAAAAACAAAACATTTTGGTTTTAATCTTTTAATCCTAACTGCAAAAATAGTTTACCTCCACTCATTCAATGCCTGTAGAGAAGTGCACAAGGTGTGTTCAACTCATTTAACAGTACTGTTAAGAATTCAAAGTTGTCCTAAAAGTTATAAAAAACTTAAATTAAAAGCTTTAGTTTAAAAAAAAAAATAGAAATGGTCTGGTTTTATAATCTTGTTTTGAATTTTCTCAAGATACTTAGTCTAGCAAATCTCTGACTCTTTCTCTTCCTTTCTCAGTTCCTTTTTCCTGCTTTATCTAACTATAGGAGCCCTTGTTTTTTGTTTTTTTTTTTTATTTTCGTTTATTTTTTTACAGGCATGTGCCACCATGCCTGGCTAATTTTTTCTATATATTTTATATATGTCCAGCCAATATATCTTTCCATTTTAGTTTATAGAGAAGACGAGATAATTCGCCTTTGCTCAGGCTGGTCTCGAACTCCTGACCTTGAGCGATCCGCCCAACTGAGCCTGCCAGAATGCTAGGATTATAGCATGAGCCACCGCCGCCTCAATGAACCTGTTTTTTATATTCAAGTATAGTTAAATATTTCAACTACTTTGATTATGTCTTTTCGATCAATTCCTGCCTATAATTTAAGTAGTAGTATTTTTCATCTTATTCTCTCCAAATGTACTCACCCTTCAGCTAGTTCCTTCTTTCTAAATCTAAAGTTCTTAACATCATTGATCTCAGCAGTAGTCTTGATGAACTGTCTCTATTTCCTTTCTTTGGAAGGCCCCATCTAAGTGGGCTTCACATTCTCTATAGCTGACAATTTTGGGGAGACTTTTTAGGGCCTTCAGCATTGGCCCTTTAAAATTACAATTAGCAGAGGTTTTTTGGCAGGGCAAAAGCTCACTGGCCCATCTGTTATAATGTGAAAAACAATGCATATATAACAGATAATGTAGCATTGGAATATACAACATGCATACATTTATAACCGCTGATTTGGGAAACAGCCATGACATGATTAAAGCTACATTTAAGAAATTACTTTGCAGCCGGGCGCGGTGGCTCACGCCTATAATCCTAGCACTCTGAGAGGCCGAAGTGGGCGGATTGCTGGAGATCAGGAGTTCGAAACCAGCCTGAGCAAGAGTGAGACCCCCGTCTCTACTATAAATAGAAAGAAATTAATTGGCCAACTAATAAATATAGAAAAAATTAGCCGGGCATTAGGGTGGCACATGCCTGTAGTCCCAGCTACTCAGGAGGATGAGGCAGCAGGATTGCTTGAGCCCAGGAGTTTGAGGTTGCTGTGAGCTAGGCTGACGCCACAGCACTCTAGCCCAGGCAACAGAGTAAGACTCTGTCTCAAAAATAAATAAATAAATAAAATTTACTTGTTTTTTAATGAATTAACTTCAATTAGAATGTAGTAAGGAACATTTTTGTGCCTGGAAACTTGCTTGATATTTTGAAGGGTATAAAAGAAGACTAAAAAGAAAAAAGGAAGGCATGCCAATAGAGAGAAACATAATCTAAGTAAAAATTAATTCACTTCTAAGGTACAAGTGACAGCTAAAATAATTATTCATTCTTCTTCCTCGTCTACTTCTGCTTCTTCTTGTTCTTCTTCTTCCTTCTCCCTTCTCCCTCTTACCCTCGTCCTCCTTCTTCTTCCTTCTTTTCTTCTCACTCTGTTGCCCAGAGTAGAGTGCAGTGGTGTCATCACTGCTCACCGCAACCTCGAATCCTTGGGCTCAAGTAATCCTCCTGCCTCAGCCTCCCAAGTAGATGGGACTACAGGCACACACCACCATGCCCCACTGATTTTTCTGGGTTTTGTAGAGACGAGGTCTTGCTATGTTGCTCAGGCTGGTCTTGAATTCCTGGGTTCAAGTGATCTTCCTACTTCAGCCTCCCAAAGTGCTGGGAATTCAGGCATGAGCCATGGTGCACAGCCTTAAAACATATTACTTTTACGATGCAAGGGTTCTTGACTCTGGATTGCACATTACATTAATCCAGGAGGCTTTTTAAAAATTCAGATGCCTGGATCCCACCCAAAACCAATTAAATAAATATCTCTAGCAGGTGGGGCCCAGGCAGTTGTAGTTTCTAAAAGCTTTCAGATAATTCTAATGTGTGGCTGGGGCAGAGAACTAAAGGAATATATTTTCTTCTTTTATCTTTTTGTTTTATAATAAGTCAAATTTACAAAAAAGTTGCACATTTGTATAATGAACTCCCAAATACTCTCTACCTAGATTGACCAATTATTAACATTTTGGCACATTTTCTTGGTCTTTCTCCCCCCAGATCCAATCCATATGATTGTGTGTGTGTGTGTGTGTATAATTATTATTAATGCTATTTTTGCTGAACCCTTTCAGATTAAGTTGCAGGAATTATAATCCTTGTCCATAAATACATCAGCAAATATCTTCTGAGAACCAGGTATTCTCTTATATAATCACAGTGCTAAGTTATAAAATTCAGAAAATTTAATATTGACATAATACTTCTAGCTAATATACAGTCCATATTCAGTAAGTAAATATTTCTAATGGTGGGGTTTAGGCAATGTGGTAAAGAATTCTAAGTAGTATGACAAAGAGTTTGGGGAACAGAAGAGAACCTAGTTACTACCTCTTAGAATTCTAGATAATTCATATCTAAAATTTGTCTTGTGGCTGGGTATAGTGGCTCATGCCTGTAATCTTAGTACTCTGGGAGGCCGAGGCAGGCGGATCGTTTGAGCTCAGTAGTTTGAGACCAGCCTGAGCAAGAGTGAGACCCCGTCTCTACTAAAAAAAAAAATAGAAAGAAATTAGCTGGGCAACTAAAAGTATATATATAAAAAATTTGCCGGGTATAGTGGCACATGCCTGTAGTCCCAGCAACTCGAGAGGTTGAGGCAAGAGGATCACTTGAGCCCAGGAGTTTGAGGTTCCTGTGAGCTAGGCTGACACCATGGCACTCTAGCCCGGGCAACAGAGTGAGACTCTGTCTAAAATAAAATAAAATAATAAAATATATCTTGCTACAAAGTACAGAGAAGTGGAGGTCAGTATTCACCAGAATAGTAGGAGAAAATTCTAAGGAAAAGTTGTGATTAAGTTGGGGATAATGAAAGATGAGTGGGAATGGACATAAATTCTAATCTAAATTTTGAAAAACTGATCATTTCTAAGAAGGCTCATGGAGTTATGAAACCAAGAGCTCTTAACGCTGTGACCAAATATTGAAGTTCTCTATAGAATGATATAACACTAAATAGTGCAATGTTTTCCTGGAGAGGTACGAGACTTAGTCATAAAAAAAAAGAAAAATTGGGGAAAAAATCTTAAAAATGAATATTTTTATGGTGATGGTTGCATAATGACATAAACTAAAACTGTATACTTAAAATGGGCAAATTTTACAGGATGTAAATTGTACCACAATAAAGCTGTTTTTTTTTTTAAAAAAAGGAAAGAAATGAATGCTTTATTCGGATGACCAAGGAATGATGTCAGATCACAGGTGTACACATATTTTCCACTATCTGTAAGCATCTACCTTAATATTTTCTCTGACATACCACCCCAGCTCTCCAGTATTTGTCTTAATATGGATGACACAAAATTATTTTCCCACAGTTTTCTCAGATAAGTGGTTATTCTATACCGAATAATTTGAACAATCCCTCTACATAGAACTCAGAATATAGCTTAAGGCATAAATCCTTCAAATGAATATGAATTATAAAACACCAATATGGGCCGGGCATCGTGGCTCACGCCTGTAATCCTAATACTCTGGGAGGCCGAGGAGAACGGATCACCCAAGGTCAGGAGTTCGACACCAGCCTGAGCAAGAGTGAGACCCGTCTCTACTAAAAATAGAAAGAAATTAATTGACCAACTAAAACTATTTAGAAAAAATTAGCGGGGCATGGTGGCGCATGCCTGTAGTCCCAACTACTTGGGAGGCGGAGGCAGGAGGATCCTTGAGCCCAGGAGTTTGAGGTTGCTGTGAGCTAGGCTGACGCCAAGGCACTCTGTAGCCTGGGCAACAGAGTGAGACTCCGTCTCAAAATAAATAAATAAATAAATAATACATGTTGCCACACAATCTGTACATATGCCTGTGCAACACAGCAGAATGACTTTGTTAATACTTAGGCTTTTAAACTCACCAGTTCCAGCGACCCTCCTTCCTCTATCAGGAGAAGGCTGGGAGGCGTCTAACCATACCAAAGAATGGAACAGCGAAGCCAGGTAGGGACCGCCCCTCTTCCAAGTGCCTCAGGCCTTTTCCGCCCACTGCTCTTGGGGACCAATCATGGAGCTCCGCTTAGGACCTGGGACCAATCAGAGACCTCAGCTCTGGACCCTCCTCTGTCCGGCCTCGCGGGCGAAGTGGCGCCATGTTTCAAGGGCAGCGCGGTTGGTTCAGCGGCAGCGTCAGCCGGGACCTGAGGCGGTTCTGGGGTAGGAAGCTGAGCGGAAGGGGTGGGTGCGGTGGCAAGGGCAGCATCGCTCCTCCCTCTGGTGCCTCGGTTCCAGGGTGCTTAGTGGTCTCACCCTGTGCTCTTGCCTCCACAGTGGCCGAAGGGGGGACAATCAGTGACCCGCGGGCAGCCGACTTCTTGTTCAGCTGCGATGCCTCGCACCCAGACACGCTGAGGTACCTGCAGGCCACTCGGCATTGCCTCTGGTGTCATGATGAGCTCGGAGTTGGGGATGGAAATTGCAGCCCACTAATAAATATCGATGATAGGGTGAGGCTGGAAACGAGCAAGGTTTCAGTCCTGGGTGTGGGAGAAAGATAGGTAACCTTTACCCCTTTCCTTTCCACCGCTGTGTCCTGGCCTTCCACTTGGCCCTCCGGTCCCTTCCCGAATTCCAGGTGTGCGCTTCCAGCTGTCTCTCCCACACCTCCACGTGGCGCCTCGACGGCCCCTCATACTCGATGTCTAAACCAAATCTCTTGGTTACCCCTCATACCTGCACCAGGTCCTGCCTCTGTTCTCCAAACTTAAAACCTTCGAAGTCACTTTTAATAACATCTCCTGCCCTCTCAATCAGTCAGTGCCCAAATAATTGAATCCCCCTAATTGTTCTTCATCCTCACTGCCATTATCTTAGTAGCACTTTAATTACCTCTTCCCCAGCACGACCAGCTTCTCTCATGCCCTTCCTCTTATCCCCACCTATAGGAAAGATGTTGCCTTCTATATGTGGAGGCTGAGTGCCTACTCCCTACCTCAGAATTGATTGATCCCTCTTCATAAAACAGTGACTATGGGTAAAACTCGTAGGCTACTGGCTCTCGATCTACTGTTGATGTGCAGTCAACAGTACTGTTTTAGATCAAGTTTCCTAATTTATTTAATCATTAATGAAGTCTCTAAAGCTGAGATTTGCCTAGGTTTAGGCCCCAAAACTACTAATATCTCAAGCCATCTATTCATACTTCCTTGCCAGAAAAAAAAGGACCAGCATAAATAAATGTATGCTTTAATGTAACCAACCCCTACTTCCAGTCATTGATTCATTCTTTTGAAAGGTTGAATACATTCTTATTTATTTCATAACCTAAAAGATTTCCTTTCTTTCTCCTAGAATATATCAGAGCCTTGATTACATAGAAGATAATGCTACAGTTTTTCACGCCTACTATCTCTCTGCAGTAGCTAATGCTGAAATGAAAAATTCGGTGGCTTTAGGTCATTTCATTCTTCCTCCTGCATGCCTGCAAAAAGGTTAGCAAGGATCATTCAACCATTCCCTGTTAGACAGCCAAATTCAACATTGTTCTCAATCAGAGATTTTTGAGTTTTGTTATCTATTTAATATAACTGGGAAAAGCGTGGAATTTGTGTCAGATTGCCTTAGGTGTACATCCTGGCTTTGTTTATTGTTCATTCACACATTCATTGAGCTCCTCCTGTGTGCCATGTTTCAAGCCAGGGGCTGGGGATTGATTCAGTGGTGAATAAGACAGATCACATCTTGCATTTGCAGTGCTCATAGGCTAGGATCCCGCATTACTAGTTTTGCCATCTTTAGCAAGTGACTTAACTTCTCGCACATTGTTCTGAGGATAAAATGAGATAATACATTAAGGTGTCTGACATGTGAGTATGTAATAAATGTGTTCTTTGCTAGCTTTGAATCTTTTTTATTTTTACATTGTTTTCTTCTGATATTTAAAGATTGGTTATGATAGTAAACCCATATATTTATATTTTTCTTTATACATTTGAAGGTACTTTCACATTAACTTTTTTAGCAACCCTATGAAATAGGAAGGGCAAGTAAATAAAGAAACTGCTTCAGAGATTGGCTTTTGGTTTTCCCTGCTTGGAACATGCTTTCTTCTATCCTGTTCTTCTGTCCAAATCCTACCTATCTTTTCTGGGCTAACTTTAAATATCCCATTTTTGTAAGTTATACATTAATTTTCAATGTTTAGCTGGTTTATTCCATAGATAACAACGTGTCCTTCTCCAGAAAGACAGACTGAAGCTTAGAACAAATTCCCAGTGAGGGGAGTATTAAAAACAAAACAAAAAACTTGGAAAATTATTTTCATAAAAGAGCCTTTAGAAACCCCAGATGCTGGGTGCAGTGGCATACCTCTATAGTCTCAGCTACTTGGAGAGCTGAGGCAGGAGATTGCTTGAGCCTAGGACTTTGGTTCCAGCCTGGGCACCATAATGAGACCTATATCAAAAAATTTTCAATTTTTTTTAAAAGAAACTCCAGAGATTGTGTTTCTTCCAAAGTTGATGTCCTGGTGAGACCTAGTTATAACTTACAACACCAAGTTGTTCTCAGTGGTTACCCAAATAAACTAAAGACTGGATGGGAGAATTGATTTATTAAAAACTATTTGTGCAATCAGTGAATACTCACCTTCAAAGAGCTTATATTATAGAATGACTATCTCATCTGATTTTATTTATTTATTTATTTATTTATTTATACTTCTGTTATTAATTATCTTTTGATCAAATTTATCTCTTATTTCTTTCTAGAATTGTTTCTTTCTAGAATTTGTTCTAGAACTGCTAAATGCTTCGAACTTAAAGAAAGTGTCAGATGGTCTGGTAGTTATAATTGTTTGAATTTTCTCAAATACTTAGTCTAGCAAAATCTCTGACTCTTTCTCTTCTTTCTCAGTTTGCCTTTTTCTGCTTTATCTAACTATAGACCCTTGTTTCTCTATATCAAGTATCAGTTAATATTTTCCAACTACTTTTGATTATGTCCTTTTCATCATTCCTGCCTATAATTTAAGTAGTAGTATTTTTCATCTTATTCTTCCAATGTACTCACCCTTCACTTAGTCCTTCTTCTAAATCTAAGTTCTTACATCATTGACTCAGCAGTAGTCTTTTTTTTTTTTTTTTTTTTTTTTTTTTTTGAGACAGAGCTCGCTTTGTTGCCCAGGCTAGAGTGAGTGCCGTGGCGTCAGCCTAGCATCACAGCAACCTCAATCTGGTCCGAGTGATCCTTCTGCTCAGGCTCCCGGTAGCGTAGAGACTACAGGCATGCGCCACCATTGCCCGGCTAAGTTTTTTATATATATATCCAGTTGGCCAATTAATTTCTTTCTTTTATAGTAGAACGGGCTCGCTCTTGCTCAGGCTGGTTTCGATACTCCCCCTGACCTGAGCAATCCGCCCGCCTCGGCCTCTCCAAGACGTAGGATTAGCAGGCGTGAGCCCAAGCGCCCGGGCCTCAAGTAGTCTTGATGAAGCTGTCTCTATTTCATTTCTTTGGAAGGCCCCATCTAAGTTGGGCTTCAGATTCCTATATGCTGACCAAATTTTGGGAGACTTTATAGGCCTTCAGCATGGCCTGTAAGAATTACCAATTACAGAGTTTTTGGCAGGGCAAAGCTCACTGGCCTCTGTTATAATGTGGAAAAACAATCATTCATATACAATAATGTAGATTGGAATAAAACATGCATACAATTTATAACCGCTGATTGGAAACGCAGACATGATTAAAGCTAACATTTAAGAAATTACTTGCAGCCGGGCGCGGTGGCTCAACTGCCTTAATCCTAGCACTCTGAAGGCCGAGGCGGAGGATTGCTCGAGATCAGGAGTTCGAAACCAGCCTGAGCAAGAGTGAGACCCCGTCTCACTATAAATAGAAAGAAATTAATTGCCGACTAATATATATAGAAAAAATTTGCCGGCATTGGTGCACTGCCTGTAGTCCCAGCTACTCAGGAGCTGAGGCAGCAGGATTGCTTGAGCCCAGGAGTTTGAGGTTGCTGTAGCTAGGCTAACCCACGGCACTCACTCTACCCTAGGCAGCAAAGCGAGACTCTGTCTCAAAAAAAAAAAAGAAAACAAAGAAAGAAAGAAATCGGCCGGCATGGTGGCTGGTGGCTCATGACTATAATCCTAGCACTCTGGGAGCTGAGGCGGGGTGGATCGCTCAAGGTCAGGAGTTTGAAACCAGCCTGAGCAAGAGCGAGACCTGTCTCTACTAAAATAGAAAGAAATTAATGGCCAAAAATAAAAAAAAAAAATTAGCCAGTGTGGTGCGCATGCCTGTGGCCCAGCTACTCTAGTTGAGGCAGAAGGATTACTTGAGCAGGAGTTTGAGTTGCTGTGAGCTAGGCTGACGCCACAGCACTCTAGCCAGGCCAACGGAGCAGTAAGACTCTGTCTCAAAATAAATAAATAAATACTTTGTTTTAATGAATTAACTTCAATTAAATAAGGAACATTTTTGTGCCTGGAAACTTGCTTGATATTTTGAAGGGTATAAAAGAATAAAAAGAAAAAGGCATGCAATAGAGAGAACATAATCTAAGTAAAATATATTCACTTCTAAGGTACAAGTGACAGCTAAAATTATTCATTCTTCTTCCTCGTGACTTTGTTCTTCTTGTTCTTCTTTTCCTTCTCCTCTTTACCCTCGCCTCCTTCTTCTTCTTCTTCTTTTCTTCTCACTCTGTTGCCCATAGTAATGCAGTGGTGTCATCACTGCTCACCGCAACCTGGAATCTTTGGGCTCAAGTAATCCTCCTGCCTCAGCCTCCCAAGTAGATGGGACTACAGGCACACACACCATGCCCCACTGATTTTCGGTTTTTGTAGAGACAAGTCTTGCCTATGTTCTCAGGCTGGGTCTTGAATTTCTGGGTTCAAGTGATCTTCCACTTCAGCCTCCCAAAAGTGCTGGGAATTCAGGCTTAAGCCATGGTGCACAGCCTTAAAATATATTACTTTACGATGCAAGGGTTGCTTAACCTGGATTGCACATTACATTAATCCAGGAGGCTTTTTAAAAATTCAGATGCCTGGATCCCACCCAAAACCAAATTAATAAATATCTCTAGCAGGTGGGCCCAGGCAGTTGTAGTTCTAAAAGCTTTCAGATAATTCTAATGGTGTGGCTGGGCAGAGAACTAAAGGAATATATTTTCTTCTTTTATCTTTGTTTTATAATAAGTCAAATTTACAACAAAAGTTGCACATTTGTATAAGAACTCCCAAATACTCTCTACCTAGATCAAACTATTAACATTTCACATTTTCTTGTCTTTCCCCCCAGATCCAATCCATATGATTTGTGTGTGTGTGTATAATTATTATTAATGCTATTTTGCTGAACCCTTTCAGATTAAGTTGCAGGAATTATTAATCCTTGTCCATAAATACATCAGCAAATACTCTCTGAGAACCAGGTATTCTCTTATATAATCACAGTGCTAAGTTATAAAATTCAGAAAATTTAATATTGACATAATATTAGCTAAGTATACAGTCCATATTCAGTAAGTAAATATTTCTAATGGTGGGGTTTAGGCAATGTGGTAAAGAATCTAAGTAGTATGACAAAGAGTTTGGGGAACAGAAGAGAACCTAGTTACTACCTCTTAGAATTCTAGATATTCATATCTAAAATTTGTCTTGTGGCGGGTATAGTGGCTCATGCTGTAATCTTGATACTCTGGCTGGGAGGCGAGCAGGCATCGTTTGAGCTCAGTAGTTGAGACCAGCCTGAGTAAGAGTGAGACCCCGTTCTACTAAAAAAAAAAATAGAAAAATAGGCTGGCAACTAAAGTATATATATAAAAATTTGCCGGGTATAGTGGCACATGCCTGTAGTCCCAGCAACTCGAGAGTTGAGCGAAGAGATCACTTGAGCCCAGAGTGAGGTTGCTTGAGCTAGGCTGACACCAATGGCACTCTAGCCCGGCAACAGAGTGAGACTCTGTCTAAAATAAAATAAATAAATAAAATATATCTTGCTACAAAGTACAGAGAAGTGGAGGTCAGTATTCACACAGAATAGTAGGAGAAATTCTAAGGAAAAGTTGTGATTAAGTTGGGGATAATGAAAGATGAGTGGGAATGGACATAAATTTAATCTAAATTTTGAAAACTGATCATTTCAAAGAAGGCTCATGGAGTTATGAAACCAAGAGCTCTTAACGCTGTGACCAAATATTGAAGTTCTCTATAGAATGATATAACACTAAATAGTGCAATGTTTTCCTGGAGAGGTACAAGACTTAGCCATAAAAAAAAGAAAGAAAATCTATAAACTGGCTCAAGTCTAAAAAAAAAAAAAGAAAGAAAGAAAATTGGGAAAAAATCTTAAAAATGAATATTTTATGGTGATGGTTGCATAATGACATAAACTAAAACTGTATAATTAAAATGGGCAAATTTTACAGGATGTAAATTGTACCACAATAAAGCTGTTTTTTTTTAAAAAAGGAAAG